GGGGGGGGGGGCCCCCCCCCCCCCCCAGTCTGGGGTACATCTGGGCACTGTCCCATGCCAGGAGCCGCCCGCCGGCCGAAATTGACTCCAAGAATCGTCGACAGGTGCTGAGGCCAAGCCCAACTGTGTCTGGGTATGGCGGGGGGGGGGGGGGGGGTGCCCCCCCCACAATCCCGATGGCATAACATAAATAAACACACAGCACCAGACAGAAAAAGCTAAAAGTTTCACCTACTGCATGTTACTGTGATAAGCTCTGAAAATATGTTCTAGAGGGTAACGTAAAATTTGGTTTACAGTGAAACACCATGATTAAAGGGTCGACTAGGAATTATTTAAAAAAAAAATAAGTTACTCATTACAGCATTTTGGAGCTAAACTACACTACAAGTGGATAAACGGTAAAGTAAAAATATTTATGAACCTTTACATTTCTCTCAACACAATACTATTTATTGGTGGAAACCTTTATAGACAAAGTTTGAGTAACTGGTCTAACCATTCGCAGTAAAAACAACAAACACTCGCTTGTTTTCTGAAATGTGTACTGAGCCATGGAATTAGTCGGGGTGAATTTTCCAAACAAAACAGCAACACCAATTAAATGATGGGTAAAACCATACGAGGAAAGCTACAGAACATTTAAAAGAAACAAACCAATATTATGTTTACATTAAATCAGCGGCCATCTTCCATTCTCCCATGAATTCTTGGTGCTGTACAAAGGCATCGAACACCTTCCCAGTAAAATGCACCAGCAAAGCACCTTCCCACCATACTACACCATTTAGCTTAGGCTGACTGGTCAGATCGTAAGATCGTAGGAAGTGGTATTAAACCTTCAGCTCACTTTCTCACAGCATTGTATTGCATTATTTTTTTCCAACTGCAATATTAGATTATACTTTTTTGTCACATAAATAAAAATTCATTAAGAAAAAAAAAAAAAATCTCCAAAAAAGTACCTCAGAAGTCATATAATCTAAATTTACTTTTGCCCTCCAGACAAACCTGCTTAAATGTTAAATAAAACTGACTGGACATGTTACCTTTTGTCTTTAAGACAGTCAAATGCAACAATAAGACAGAAATGCCAAACTGCAAGTCATCCAGCTATCTTCCTGACACCTACCCAGTCAAGTGCCATTTCCACTGTTAACCAGCAGAAAAACCTTGATCGTTAAACTGAACAGGGCTTCTTGTTAGCAAGGAGCCTCATAACATACCAGCTGTCATGCGCTGGAGCCTGGAGGATGCTGCCCTGGCCGGGCCTGGCAGCCGAGGGGTTAAAGGAAGCTGTCCTCAAACAGCAGCCCTTCGACTATTTTCAGGTCCTTAACTTACAGGCAGCGACAGTTGACGTGCGGCGGGGGCAACTCCTCCTGACTCGGCACTTACGTGGAACTCGGTGGTGTTGAGAATGTGACGCCCGTCGGGGCTCCAGCGCGAGGAGACCAGCCCCGCCGAGCCCTCGTCGATCTTACAGTGCCAGTCGGGCTGCTCCAGTGACCACACCTGAAGGAGGGGAGGGAGTCTGCTGCAAAGAGTGAGGAGAGACCCGGCCGAAACCCCGCCATCCCTATCCACCCCCACCCGTCTCTGACAGAATGAAAGACTGTCGCTGGCTACCTCTGCAAAGGTAAGGTGCTTCCAGATCTTCACAAGTACTGTTAGAAGTCGTTTTCATCTACTTTACTGTGGGTCCCGAGTACTAGAACCACTATTAGATCTTAAGCCCACAAGCATATCAGAGTTTGGCCAATAATACTGTTCCCTGAGGTTTTCAAGGGTCTGTTTCACAATCAGAATGCAGCCTGAGAGATAGGGGAGGTGAGGTGTCGTGTTTTGGCCCCCTGTGTAATTGCTGTAACGGTAACTTTTAGGGCATTTAAGTGACCAAAAAAAAAGTAGCATTTTTAAATATTCCAAGGACAATAATTTATCACTTAATTCCTGTTCTCCTCTAGTTTATTTGGTCTGGGTATTAGGTTTTCTGACTAATTTTAATCTTAAATACTTGATCCTTAAACATCAAAGCAAACTTCTGATAAAGTGGATGCGGGGGCAGCAGCTTTATACCTGCACCAGAGCTCGCTTGTACATGGCGCACAGGATAAACTGGGAGTCAGACGACCACTCCATGCAGGTGACCTGATCCAGGCAGGTGTACAGGTGTAGGATCTGCAGGCTGCTCACGTCTCGCACCACCAGCCTGTACTGGACACAGGTGGCCTGCAAGCACAAGAAGGACCCAGTCAGAGAGGTGGCTTTTCATCTGCCTGAAGCACAGTGCTCCATGAGAGGGAAATTAATATTTAAATTTTAATTTTAATTTACAGCCGGTGGGCACCTCATACCTGTTAAAGTGTCAAAATAACAAAAATTCAGCTTGAAGTACAAGAGCTTGATGGTAAAGATAAATTGATTAATGCCTTAATATTCTGGATAAACTCTTGCACAGAAGGGTGTGCAAGTATCTTACCAGATATTTCCCATCTGGTGAGACTCTACACAGTTGGTTGGTGTGCTTGAAGACCTCCGAGAAGTTCATCTTCTTCTGCAGCTCATCCACCTGTTGCAATGAAGAAAATTGGGCAGTCCAAGGGCCGCTGGCGGTACCGACGAGCATAGACTAAAGAGAGGAGTTAAACCAAATGTACCTAATAATCTGCTGGTAATCCCTGACATGGGTAGGGCCTTATTAATACTGCATGCCGCGCACTTTCCAACTACAAGAGGTAGCGGTGTCAAGATGCAAATCTGTTTGACTTCGGACGCCGCAATACGAATCGATAACAAAACTTCTTGAGCGACTTTTAAGCGAAGGCTGAATAACAAACAACTAAAATAAAAGCATAGTCAAACTGGCATAGTTTATTACAGCCGGCAAGCGACGAGAGCTACCCAGATTCACGCCCGAAATACTTGCAAATAACATATTAGCAAGCTAGTCAGAGCCAGGTTATTGTTACACGCACTGCTATATAATGCTAATAATTTATCAGATTTTAAAAATATTATTACCTACAATTACGATCTCAACTGGTCCCAGGTTACATTCAGCTTGCCTAACCCCCGTCCTTCTTAACAACGGCGAGTAACGCTGTTTAGGAAGTGCGGCGCATGTTTATTCTGATTGACAGGCTAAGCGACAAATCAGCAACGGCTGTGGGGCGGGCTGAAAGCATTATGGGAATGTGAGTTTTTCCCTCAAATATAGGATGGTCAAATTTATTGCAATTAGGATTTTTTTATAGACCTAGAGTACTTTCTTACTGACCAATTAAACTCGTTTTTATTTTACTGTTGCAAACCCCCCATCATTCGCAACTATTTGCGATTTGCTGTCATTCAAAACTCAGTCAGGCGCGCGCACACAACCACTTTGCGATTTGAGCAACTATATATAAATTGAAATGCATTCAATTAAATTTAAATTTAAAAGTGAATATTATTAACATTTTAATTTACTTATGCTGTTTGGTTATTATATGCATTTCAAAACAAGTGTATTATTAACTTTATCGGCACATAAAACAAACAAACAAACGTACTGGGTGTTTATTATTTGCAGTTAGCAGCCACTTCATCTAAAGGAAGCGTTTCTCAACCTCTTCAAGACCCCCCAGCGAGAGGACAAAATGCTTCCCGCTCCTGTGTGCTCTAACGGCGGCTAACGCCTCCTATAGTTACCCCTAATTCCCACAACCCAACCCTCATACTCAACTAAGAAAGAAAGTCTTGTGGGCAAAGAGGTACCTGGCTAATCAGCCATTTCGGCATATTTCTGAAATCGTATTTCCTTTCAGTTTGCTTTCTGATTACTACTTAGTATATACAATGACTGTTGATTTTTATAACGAATCCGTGGAACAGTCGGTCCTAATGGCATGACAGCTAAGATTTTCTTTTAGTTTTCGGGGGTCCCGTAAAATAGTAATAATATAATCTTCATCTCTTCAAAAGAACCTGCTTTAAGGATATATTGAAACTGGAATATCTCTTCAGATTATTGGGTAAGTCACGTTATTATTAGCTGTTATACAATGATAGCTTCTTTAATTCTGCAAAGCAAGCATTATTTCGGTTTCATTTTTGTTTGAATGTGCAAGTTTCATATAGATGTATTATTATACATTTATTTATTTTCAGTGCCTTGTCTTGTTATATATCGAGGATATGATTTTGTCGGCTCTAGTCAGTTCAAATATATTATTGTATCATTCCCTTATGAAATGTAGCAACAACTGACATGCGGAAACTATTCTTTTAAGTAGCCTACGTGAATTATTGCCATTTAAGTTAACGTAAGTTATGTCTCAGACGTATTTTATGTATTAAGCTTATAAACATAAGTCGATAAGCAGAATGGCATGCAATGCTTGTGTGTGATATTAAACATTTGTCATTAGTTTATTACAGTGACAACCATATCTATAGTTTTATATATATTGTGAATGTATTTTATATATGTGTGTATGTATGTATGTGTGTGTGTGTAAATATATATATCACATTAATACATTGACATTTGTATAAAAGACGGCTCTCCATTATTCGATTAATCCCTCTTCAGACTTAAACATTTAAGTTTTTATTTTAACGCCTGCCTATGAATTATCTCTATTCTGACCGTCATTCGCGCGAATTTATCTGAAATAGATTTGTTTGGACATGAACGTACTAATGAATCACCATATTTTTAAGTAAAAACACTGTATATTAGTTCTTTTTTAGATATTTGTTCTCTTTAAATCCACCCAGACGCGGTCAATAGTTAAATCAATATTTGTGTTTCAAATATTGGGTTTTTTCTGGTCAGAGTACACAATAATAATTTCCTTTCAAGAAATATCCTGCAAGCGCTGCTTCGGATAGCTGTTAAGTAAGAGCAGCTGCGCCCAGTTGTATAACATTCAGATTTTATAGAAAATAACGGTTTTTATTATTATTATTATTATTATTATTATTATTATTATTATTATTATTTGCAAGATGGGTAGAATGTTTGAAAATAAGGCACAAGATAGAATTAGCAAAAGCAAATGAATAAAATCTACCTCACTCTTTTGTGTCTTCAGTAAAATACAAAGTAAAATTGCAAGAAAACCAATAAATGATTCCAAATTGTGTTAACAACAACACTAATAATAATAATAATAATAATAATAATAATAATAATAATTGACTGTCTATATATTTTATTTAATGTATAAACTGATGCATTCTATTATGAATGTTAATTGATTTTTTTTAGAAGGCACGTTTATCTGTCATTGAATGAGGATACACCTTTGTTGAATTTCACAGCAAGAAGCAGTAGCACGCAAATAATGCAAGATATCCCGAACGAAGATTATCCCTTTCTAAAATATAGATTTTATATCATTATATACCCAAATATAATTTAATTGTGTTTTGCGGAATCGCTAAGGAAATGGTTTCCCAAATGAACATCAATACACCGTGCGGGTTAACACCGAGAGTTACAATCTGCGACGTGGTTCCAAGGTGACAGCTCCAGGTGAAGTTAATGACCCTTGGGACGAACGATTTGTGTGCTGTAACTATAGGCTAGTAGTTGTCTTGGGTACTGATATAACTAACTTGGGTATGGAACTGGCGAATCCAAATTATTCTACACTGAAGAATGGGTCGTTTATGGTAAATATTACACTCTTCCGTTATGCTTTTTATAACACCAGAAATAAGTATGTTCAGTTGAATTATTTTAATTAAAAAAAAGAACTACTTCATTAGAAGCTTATTATAGGTTACGTATAATTTTCTTCTTATATTTAAAAAATATTTATTAGAGTGGTGAACGTAGTTGAAATTGGAAATGTTACACTGCAAGCAGTCATTCCCTGTTGAGCAGTGGCATAAGTGACAAGCTGCGGCTCCCATCGGCGGGAATTAAATTCTCCATTCGACCTCCGCTTATTGGCATCTTTTAATTGCTGGAGATGCGCATCTCCTGTTCTCTTGGAGGGGTAGCTACCAGGGGAATAGAAGAAGCCTAATTTAACAGGTGTACGACTGCCTCAAAATGCGATCACTGATTCAGGCGTACCCCGACATACGTATTGCCTTGTCAAGTCCTGAATATAATGTAATTAAAATGTATGTTTGATTTGACTGAGATTCTGCAGTTAGCAAAAGAATATTGGATGTAATGTCAAAACGAAATACAGGTGCACGGGGAGTTAGTTATGATCTTACTCTGTAGGCTACAGGATGTAAATTACCGGTGTGGGGGGGGACTGCTGCAGTTTTGATGACTCATGAGTCACGTGCCCTGTAAGTGAGAATGATGTGATACTTGCAGCACATCATTTTCACTTTTTCACTATCTAGCTGCCAGGAATACAACATCTGAGCAATTAGTGAGACCGTCTCATCATTATGTTTTTTTTTCTTTAATTTCTTTGCAGTGAACATGTCCAAACGGGTGACTTGTTTCTGGCTCCCAGTCATGGGCGCCGCCGCCATTAAATCTGAGGGGGACGTGTCCCCCTCACATTTCATAATTATTCGTTTGGACCCCCCCCCCCACATTTAACATAAAATATTAATTTTATGCCAGTGTCCCCCCCCCAACATTCAAAATGCTTCTGACGCCCCTGCTCCCAATGTTTCACTGATTGCTTTTGAAAATTAGACGGCAGCTTAGCCTGAACGTCCCGCCACTTACTGCGACATCACGAGAGAATCTAAAATTAATTTTAATTGTCGGAACTATATGGCAGTAATACAACTTAAAACGAAATTCCAGCAGATTGTATGAGGTTTCTTGGCGAGTTTTAATACCTACATAGGAGGAAAATCGTCATTATATTATTACATTATTATTCACTGCAAAATATTATGCTTTGTATTTGTATTTTCCACAGATTTGCTATACAATTAGTCATATATCCTATGAGGGTCTCCTGAAGGTTCCAAAACGCCGCAAACCTTTGCCATACTTTCTTGCCTTTGCCTAACCAGCGGCGTTGCCGGGGAGATACGAGACGCTACATTCTGCGATATAATGAGCTTTTAAGTAACAGAGCCGTGCAATCTGAGAGCTGAGAGGAGAGTTGTGAGTTGGAAAGTAAGTTATAAACGCCATAGATAACTTTTGAAAACGCTCCATGCTAAAACATATCAAACTATTAACTGGTAATTCGAATGAGTAGTTTATATCAGATTATCAACGTTTTGCCGTTCAAAGTACAGTACATCTTCACTGTCTTTTGATAAGTAGCGCTCAGATTATATCGTCCCATTTGTATTAGATTTATTACATAAGTTTGTTAGAATAAGCACTTTTTCCAAACGTTTTAAATTAATATTTGTAATGCGTAGATTTTCTATGGACCGCCGCGTTAATACACGTTTGAAGAATGTAACACAGACCACAGTCTCGTATTTTTAACAGTCGGGAAACTAAAAATAAGCTCGAGGATCCTGTTTGCTGCTAAGTAACGCTAGTATTTTAAAGATTAATTTAGTTACTGCCCAAAAAAGACCCAGTGCATTGTAAACTCACGTGACGTCATAGAACTGCACTGACTATTGATCTACAAAATGAGCCATATCGTGTGTGTACAATACGACAGCTTGTCGTGCGGGGTCAGGGCATGCAGTAGTCAGGGTTAGGCAGTCACACTGGACACCGATCTCTGGGGGTACCTCCTGTTGAGCTGCTTCACTTTCTTCGAGATCTTCCGCATTTTGAAGCTAATGACGCCCAGACACATTTTGATGCGTGTTAATGGTAAATTCCTGTCCAAAATTTCGTCAAAGGTACATGTTACAATGAATATATACTCAGGGGACAAAGAGTAAAAGCATAAGGGGTCCTCAAAGAAGGTCTGCCAGGAGCGGAGGACCTCCAGGTGACTCGTCCGGGAGGGACACTAATTCTCATTGTCATCCTAATGGAGGAAGGAAAAATATAGCGATTAACATTTCGGTCTGTGAATTCAATACATGTTTTAATACTCTAATACAACGGTTAGTTGATTTGTTAGACTTCTTGTGTTGTTTTAATTTAATTAAAATAGTATCTACACTCTGGACATGATAAATAGTTATGTCACTTAGTTGACCCCAGATACCATATCCTCTGGTTCTTTCCTCCACATTCTCTCACTTTTTAATCTCCCTTTTTAGTTTGTGTTTTATTATTTAATTTAGCATTTACTTTAGAGGCAAAAGTATTGGTAGCTGGCGGGTTAAGCGATTGCATTCGAATTGTGGGGTATTTAGTTAAAAGACGCCCAGCAGTGGTATAGTCCTGTATGATGTCACCGTCGATTCGATAACGTTTTCATCAGTATCTGAACCAGAGCCACGGTTCTTAAGGGTCTCAGCCTCAAAAGTACAGGGTTGTGTGTCTGTGTGTAAAATCTGTGTCTGTAGGGTTTCAGCTGTTAATTCTGGTTCAGGTGAAATAATGGATCTACATCTGCTGTGTGGTTGGAATGGACTGTGGTTTAAGATTGTCACTTCAGCTCAGCTATTCCCCAAAGACATTAATTCTAGCTCACAAAGAAGGTTTAATTTTATATAAATGATATATCAGCGAGCCATTGGTTGGCTCTTAGCTGTATGTTCTGCTGAGATGTTGAGTGTTTCGTTCCGTTCCGTGTCCCATGGAAATGGAGGGCAGGATGTGGCTTAGTGTGTTGAGGTGCTGTGCTGCCTTAATTTGCTCAGCAAGACCTTTAACCCCCCCCCCCCCCCCCCCCACTCCACGCCCCCACAAATTACTGCATGAACAGTCTGACCCTGCATTAAAAAAATAAAAATAAATAAAAATTACATCATTTTAGATAAAAGCATCTACTAAATAAAGGTAAAACTTAATTATAAAACGCTTCATGAGGCATAAGAGTAGTTAAGCTCTGTTTAGCAGGTGTAGTTATGTTTCAGGGTACGATACTTTTACTGCAAATGGGGAAGTCAAGGCGGGAGCTCCTCCAGCTCCAAAAGTGGAACATCGTTCTAAAATGCAAAGACTGAGGACTCAGTTCCGGAGGCACACAAACAAATTATAATCCTTCTCTCTACTGTAAGGTGCTTTGCATAAAAGCATCACACAAATGAGCTACACAAAAAATAAAAAAAAACAAAAAAAAAACATTTACAATGTAACTAAAAACACCATCAGGAACAAACAGAATCTACCACCTCGCATCCCTCGTTCATCTCGTCATGCCGTCTCGGTGACCCTCTAAATAACCTTAAAAGGGTACTTAAATTAACAAGGGCCAGCTGCGTTTAGTTAAATCGGTAACCTGTGGGCCCTGAATTGGTTAATATTTGCCATAGCAACACAGCCACTCACCCAAACCCTAGCCTGGACCGCTCTGATCTACCTCCCACCACATCAAAGAGGTAGCTGAAATGTCACTGAGGGATGAAGTACAGTCACTAGCCAATAGAAATGCTTTCATGTCTCAATCTGAAATCATTTGTTTTGCATTTACATAAGTAATCAGTATTTTTTTTTATAAAGAATTCAGTTTAGTCTGTGTGTGTGTGTGTGTGTGTGTGTGTGTGTGTGTGGTGTTTGTATATTCCAAACATTTGAGATATTAGTGGATATGCATTTTTGTGTATACTGAGAGAGGCACTGTGAAGTTGGATGTTAAGAAATTCTTTATATCCAGAAAATATGCTGATATATACACGTTGACTCTTTGACCCTCTATATACCACAGTCAAGTCCTTGTGCAAAGGTCAGGGGTCACAGGTCATGTCCTCTCACTTCCTTTGGCTCTTTACAAGGTGGAGTGTAATGGTCAGGTGAGCTAACATGTGATTAGGAGGTTGAGGGTTTCTGCCTCATGTTGTACCTTATCAGCTTCGGTAAACCATTAAGCTGCAAAATTGTGTTGTAACAATGTGCACTCTATACTGAACTGTAACTGTTTATTATGAGAATAATAACATAAACGAATGCATCCATCCATCCATTTTCTGAAACCGCTCAATCCCAACTGGGGTCGCGGGGGGGGACCTGAGCCTATCCTGGGAACAATGGGCGCAGGCGGGAACATTACAGAATAATAGCCCAAATATTCATAATCAGTGTTTAGAGCATAATGTTCCGAACAACCGTATCACTGATTTTCTTAATGGTATTGAATACTAAGCTTTGGGTTATTGTATGTTTCTTGGCTTTAGGCACCACTGGTATTTTATGCATCTATCAATCCATCTACCCGGATAGAAGGCCATAGCTTTTATTGCAGTGCAGTACCTAGCGGAATTCCCTTCAATATGACACAGGGAGAATATGCAGACTATTCCCTCTAGTTTGTAATAATATCTTTATGTATCTGTGTTATAAACATTCCAAAAAGCATTACCTATGGGTTTAAAGTTAATTCTAAGTATCTTTTTGTTTAAATAGTTGACAGTTAAATGATTTGTCTCTATTTTTATGCTTCTGTCGGTGCTACAGCCTCAGACCTCCAGTCTTTTGCCTTGATGTGGTTATAGCTGGTGTCTCTAAGTCACCATTAGTGTGAGATTCTCGCGATCATCTGGCATGGTGTACTCTCTCTGGAAAGAGGCTCACCATCGTGGTCTTGCATAGGATAAGTGTTTATGGAAAATGGATGGTTGGATCAACACCAAAAAGCGGTATTTATACTAATAACCACAAGAGGGAGCCCTTCATACTAAAACGCTATGACTTTTTAAAGGCTGAACTACATAATGTAATCAAAGTTGAAATCACATATGTTTGGTTGACCCGTCATCCGGAGACCCTTCCTGCTGTATGGTATCCACAGTGTCCTGGAGCTGGTGGGTAGTGCTAAGTGTATAACACGCTCTCCCCAGAGTAAGGCTGCAGTGGCCGGGGGGAGGGGGGCCTGGCAGTTGGGTTGCTAGTAATGTGTGGCGCGTGGGAAGGAGGCTCTGCTCGGAGCCTGAAGCCCGATTCCCCATGGGCCCACAGCAGACAGGTCTGGGCAGGCCAGCTGTGGCAGCACCCGCACCCCATGCGGGCCGCAGAACAGGAACAGCACCCTGCGATCTGCTCAGAGGAAACGGGAGACCCCACACTGGGGACCAGATGGGGACCGTCAGCTATTATTATGGTTGCTGTTATTATTATTGTTGTTTTTATTGTTTTTGTTAGTGTTGTTATTTACTTAGTGATTTAATCTATACCCATATATGTTGAAAATATATATAGTAGAGCTCATCCTAGAATCTGGACCAAAAGCCTTCTGGGTATATTCGGATGCAGAAATGTTCTGTGTCGGAGTGCCTCTTCCCTCAGTGATGTTTCACACCACGCTGAATCCGGGCTCAGTCAGCTGCCTGCAGATGATGATGATGATGATGATGATGGGTCTTTTAACGTCCGCAGAGTGATCTACCCGTCGGTGGATTACCCGTCAGCAAAGATGTCCCAGTCCACAGCCGCTGACGAGGGGACGACCTTCGAGCACCTGTGGAGCACATTGTGAGCACCTGCACTCCCTCAGCCTCATTCCTCACCACCCAGACTGTACCCCACACTCTACACTGTGCTGGGGATCAGAGCACTACACACATACACACTCCGGGTAAATCATGGAAAGAACAAGTCAGGTCTACACTGAGTGTGTTTTGGAAAAACTTACACGTTTTGGGGAGTAAAGCCTTCCGTCTAGCAGACGGCGTGTTTGCGTTTGTCATCAGTAATGTATGTCATCGTCGCATTTCTCAGGATACTCAGAGCCTCCTCCCTGGACTTCCTAGCACTGAGACCCATGTGTGTTAAAATATAGTGGACACTGTATATAAGGTTACATGATATCTTACGTATCACACAGAATTCAAGATTCTAGATTCTTTATTGTCATCTCACCATATAGGACAAAGGTAGGCAATCTTATCCTTAAAGGGCCAGTATCTAAGCCTTTATGTCAACTGTTCAAACCCAGGTGTGAGGACTCTTCAGTCAATCAGTCCTCTAATTAGTAATCTAATTAGGGAGTTGCAGCAAAAACCCGCATACACATCGGCCCTTTCTTGAAGCCCAACATAGCTACCATGAAACGTCGTTTCTCTGAAGGAAAGTAAAAAAAAAAAAATACAAAACTAGAACAGTTTTCAAACATCTGACAGTCAAGCATCCAACATACAATGCAATATGTAGAATGTATATAGTACAGTATATAGAATGCAAGGTAGCCAAGATCACACTCTAATCTATTCCATAAACTCTTTTATGATTCACTGTCAATACCTGTGTTATGTTGTGTGGTTCTATGAATTTCTATGATGTATAAATATTTCTTTGTTTTAGGAAGGTATCACTATCTATTTCATGCATTAATTATGCATTTATCCACGCTGTACTGCACAGAATATACTCTTATCCTGCTATCCACTATCAATGTCCATATTTTAACCCGTCCAGTCCTGGGACTCGGTGCCCTACATGCTCTGTACACCGATCTGAACGCAGATGCTGCATTACGGCGCTGAAATGGCTCAGATGTACGTCTGTTAACCCTTTCAGGGAGCCGGACAGCACATACTTCGAACTTCCCCAGAACAGTCACCCCGGCAGTCACGACGCCACCAGCGGCACACCTTCCAGCCGTGCCGAGGTCTGCATGGATGTTTTCCACATGCGGGACATGAACGAGAGCGTCATGGTAAGGGGAAGATCTCTCTGTTCACATATAATCACTGTGCTCTCGAGATCTGCGGTGGCAAGATCTGTGGCAGCGGTAGCAAGTGTAAATCAGTGATACTTCTAATCGTGCTTGTGAACATTTAACTAAAAGGCTTATTGTCACTTTTAACACAATACTTAACGGGGCCAAATACTTAGTAATGACTCAGTTACTATCATGAAGAAACCATGAACAATTATAGTCCTTGAGATAAAAGATGCATCACGATTAATTAATGATGAACAAACACATGATCAGTATTTCACGTCATTCATTCAGTAGTTCATAAAGGTTTACAGAATTAATAGATATAGCAACAAATGCTTGGGATGAAAGATGCATCATGACTGATTAATGATAAATTAACATGAGATCAATATGTAAGTAAGAGTTAGTTTGTGGTTAATTAATACATAACTAATAGAATAACACTATATTATCCTTGCCCCATCGAGTACATCGTTTTATTGGCATCTTCACAGTTTTCCCTGAAAAACGCAAACCAATATGTGCAGTGTTTTCCTGACAAGTTTTCACACACTTTTGAGACAAATTGAGCGATTCTTCATAGTCTTCATATAGAAAAGAGTGTGGACTTAAATATGTTCCATGTAAATGAGATTTAAAAAAAGTATGGAGCAAGAGCAGTTGTGCTATTCAAAGAGCTCTAACAATAGAGTTCACATACCTGCAATCGGTTGTACATGTCTCTGTTCAATAGCCATTATACTTTAGCAATAAAGCTGCACAACTTAATACTCAGTGGTGTGTGGAAGCACAAAGACAGCATGGGCCACATTCGCCCCATATTTCCCATAATGCACTGGCAATGACCGGCTCCCCTCCAACGTCCGACAGCTTCCCTCCCATTTTCCCTCCCTTCCTGAGCATTTTCCCTCCCTGTGTGCTGGGGCAGACGGATTAGGTGGGAGGTTACTACGCTAATTAGCAGCCAAGCCAAACCCGCTACCCGAGACCTGCTGCTGGCCATCTGGAGTCGTTTGCAAAGTGCGCCATGCACCTGTAAATGGCGGCGCCAGTCAGGGGACTCTTAGCATTCCTCCCCGGGCCACGAACACAGCAACCGGTGGCCATAAACTCCATGGAGAATCCAGCCTGTTAGCATGAGCTAACGTCACCCATTAGCTTTGAATTGTTTCATCATTGGCTGGTTTTCCAAATAAAGAAGTACTCCTGTGAGGATGGCCGGTTTGTGTCTTTGAAAGTTAATCTTGGCCACGTGGGTTAACAATAGTGGGGGTTTTTTTAATCAGCAATGCCAATGAATGGGACTGTAAATTTATTTTGAGCGCATTGTGCTGTTTCAATTAGAATCCCAGTCATCCCCCTTGGGCGTTACTTCACCTGGTGTGTGTGTGTGTGTGTGTGTGTGTGTGTGTGTGTGTAGATGAGTGAGAGAGTCAGTGATATTTGGCTCTGTTCTGAACTGGTGTAATCAGTCATCATACAGGACAGTGCCATTTTAATCAATGGCATGGCAGTGAGCTTGAAGCTGTAATCTGGACTTTTGTATGATGACATAATTGCTACTGTAAGCACTGAGACAGGAGTGTGTGTAATAGCTGAAGTGGGGTTCCCTAATATGACTTTATCACACAAACTGCGGCAGTTTGGCGCCCAGGAGTGTTTTTCCATGTTTCTTCCCTTAGTCTGGTTTTTTTTTAACAAAAAAATGCCAAATGTTTCTCATGCTAATGCTAGCTTCATAAATGAATAGGCAAAAAAACTTTTATTCAAGGAACTGATTTGATGAGTATGGTTGGTTCATTGTAATCAAAGTCTCTATGCAATGGTTAGTCTAAAAATCCAAGTTATTTATCTGTGACCCCCTTTCTTTGAAGTTGGTATAGTCCAATACATCAGTGAACAAGCCTGGGCCTGCCTGGTGGGTTAATGAATAGTCATGAGAAAAAAAGGGGGAGGTCCCAGATTTGTTGTTAGAGGCAAGCCAGGCACGAGGGCCAGGGGAGATGGGGGAAAGTTGAAATAGGGGAGGTAGCCCTTTGCATCCCCCCTCCTGCGCCCTGGCGTTCCTCCGCTGCCCTGTCCGGCGTCACCGCCGCTGCCACCGGCGCCCCCCACCCTGCGTTCCTGCTTGGGCTCCTCTCACAGGCTCCACTGAGCACCACTTGCCGACCTGGACCAGGCCGGGCCCCCGTGTCGCCACGGACAGGCTGCTCCTGTGGGCCAGGTACCATGTTGTACATTAGTGACCCAACGCAGCGCTGCAGAACGGTAGGTGGGAGCTGCTGCCTCTCCTGCTTTGGCTTAGAAAGGAAAGGGTGTGTGTGTGTGTTTGCATGCTTTGGGGTTTTTTTTTACCTTAGCACCATGCTTGTTGATTGGTTGAGCTAGACAGTCCTCTTGTGATTCGATGGATTCGATGGCAGTCGGTCCTCAACAGGTGTCATTCGCTGGTCCTGCACCTCCATGTGATTCAGCCAGCTGTGCGTTATGTCAGCTCTGGGGGTTCTGCAGTTTCAAGTTAGCTTAGCAACATTTTTACCAGGAGTAGCTAATCACCTACTGACGAAAGATGCGTGAGTTGTTGATCGGTGACATTTAATTGGAGTTTAACCTTCCCAGAGGCTGCTCTCTGTGTACGTATGGATAACACTTTATGTTTTTGACTTGTTTTACCTACTGGAAAATGAGCAAGACTTTTACTGAAACTCATAAATGAATTAATATCTATTATTGGATGGATGGATGGATGGATGGATGGATGATTTTTTTCGTCTATCCATTCATCAATATATCCATCCATTTATCCATCTATCTTTCAACTGCTTATCCAAGACACTGTCCCAGGGGAACCTGGAAGTGATTCCCAGCAGCATAGGACACAAGGCGCCAAGGGCAGGTTGCCAGTCCATCACAAGGCATTTGTTCATCATATGTAACATGTTTTAACAATATACAATTCATGCTAAATAAACACGAGGGAAATGTATATATAAGCAAGCGGTGTTTTTTACCATCTCATTCATACATAATCATCGGACTGCTTGGGTGCTGCAGCGGTTGGCACTGTCGCCTCATATTTCAGTGGCCTGGGTTTGAGTCTCCAGCAAGGTTCCGTGTGTGTGGAGTTTGCATGTTCTCCCAGTGTTGCCCTGGGGATTCCTCTGGGTTCCCCCCACAGCCCAAAAGCAAGCCGAAGCTAATTGTAGTTCCCAAATTGCCCATAGGTGTGTGAGTGCGTGGTGTGTGAGTGTGCACTGTGATGGGTTGGCACTCCATCCTGGCCTGTTCCCTGCCTTGCACTCATAGCCTCCAGGACAGGCACTGGACCTCCTGTGACCATGAATAGGACAAGTGGTTGCAGAAAATGGATGAATGGCATTGGAATGCATTCCATTAACTTCCTTTGTATTGGATTTAAAACAAAAAGGACGTCATAAAATAATGACTATATTAGCGGGTGCTGTGTAGAGGACATTGTTTTTTCAAAAACGTTCATATCAAAGGGGACCTTTTGATAAACAAGTCCATTAACAAAGATACACACACGTCCAATTAATTTCGTCTCGTCTCGGTCGCTGTACTTCACACATCGATCAGCAGATGGCGACATTTTAACACATTTTTTTCTAATCCAATTATCTTTCCCAGTATTATAATATACACAGTAAACACATAATGTATAACACTCAACTTTACCGTGCCTACTTTCATCAGGTTATATTATGATTAAGATAAAACATGCATCACATACTATATATACATATTGAAAAGGGGGGCACTTTCAATAGGGAGGGACAGGTACTCAGGCAGTGTCGTCGTGGGAATTCCTCTAGGTACTCCGATTTCCAACACAGTCCAAAAAATGCTGAGGTTAATTGGAGTTACCAAATTTCCCACAGGTGCGCATGTGTGAGTGATTGGTGTGTAATTGTGCCCTGCGATGGGTTGGCATCCCATCCCGGGTTCTTTCCTGCCTTACGCTCGTAGCCTCCGGGATACGCTCCGGACCCCCCGTGACCCTGAATAGGACAAGTGATTACAGAAAATGGATGGATGGATGGATGTACTCAGGCACGCTCAGCCCCTCTACACGTGCCTGTGTATTAAATTTAATTTAGTAGCCCTTCATAGTATCAGGTAGGACCACAGGGGCGTCAGAACCATTTTGAATGTGGTGGGGACACACTGGCATAAAACTAATATTTTATGTTAAATGTGTGTGTGTTGGGGGGGTCCAAAAGAATAATTATGAAATGTGAGGGGGACACGTCCCCCTCAGATTTAATGGCGACGACGCTCATGTAGGACCCCCTTCTGCATTCAGAGAAGCCCTTTCTCTGCACCACTGATGTACTGTTAGCTTGTGGCTTGTGGAGTGTGGCGATTCTCCGCTGACGTCTGTCAATAACAAGGTATTTTCAGCCATAAAAATGCCATTGACTGGATTTTTTTTTCATTACGCCATTCTCTACAAGTTCAAGTCTGTATTACATGAAAATCCCAGAAGGTTGGATGTTTCTGACATGCTGGAACCACCACATCAGGCACCAGCAATCACACTACGTTTAAAATCTCTCAGGTCGCACGTCTTAGCTGCTGGAAAGCTTTGTAACTGAAGCTCTTGACGCATTCTGTGTGTGTGTGTGTGTGTGTGTAAAAATGTATGCTTGGCATGGAGAGCAATGAAATTAGCTGGAGGGCGAAGTTTCGGCGGTGCCTGCTTAACGCCCCCCCGCTCGCCATTGTGCGGGAGCGTTTCGGTGGAGGCGCACCGCAGCGTCCCCCTGCCGGCGCTGTGTCGGGACTTGCCGTCATGCCGCTATCCCCGCAGCCCCGCCGCCGCCGCACCACGCACAGCTTTCTCGCCGCGTTCCTCGTACCCACTTGTCCGTGTTTCGTAGGAGCGCTGGCGCTGGCATCATTTCTCTGCCTTCTTTTGGAAACTCCCGGAAAAAAAAACCGTAAAATGGGGGCGAGGATAGTCTTTGATCATCTTGTGAATTGAGAGACTTATCGCATTCTTTCCTCCGTCAAGTTTCAGCAATGTTAAAAAAACTCAGTGGAAAGGTAAAGCTGTACTCTGACATTTTGACCGTACATTTGCTGGCTAAGTACTTGATTATACTTTTATTGAAATTCTTGTCCTCCTCCCCCCCCAGTAAAGCACTTTGAACTACAGTAGACTTGTGTACACAATATGCTAAGTCAATAAATATTGATTGAATGATTGATTGATTTTATTCAAAGCGACTTATAGTTTTACCCACATATAAATATAGACTGAAGCAATACCTTTTTCAAAAGCTTCTCCTGGGTCCAGGGGCGCCGCTAAGGGGGGGAAAGTTGGGACAATTCTAAGGGCCCACGCCCTTTAGGGCCCCCCAGAGATCTGCTTTATTAATAATAAGTTACCGTAGGGGGGCCCAACCTCATATTTTGTCATAGGGCCCAAAATTGCTAGCGGCGCCCCTGCCTGGGTCTAACGCGGCCATCAGATGTTTTGTCTGCCTGGTTTGAGGATCAGTCTCTATGTGATCTGGTGACACTGCAGTCACAGCATTAGAAAACGACGTCAGGTGCAGTTCTGACAGACCTTACGATCGATCATTTGAGAGAACGGAGCCATATACTTTCTTGCTTTGGAAATGTCTTTGAACTCCAGCACACAGACTACAAACCATCAGGTCATATTCTGTTATATTTTCCATGTCTGACATTCAATGGGATCTCGTCTTTCTTATCTGACCATGCACCCCAGCGCTGTTTAAATCGGGCTGTGTACCTGGGGTGCCCCGAGTGTACATTCCTTTGTGCCTTGGTACTTTTCTCAATTGGCCCATATTTTAAACATTATAGGCTAAAGCAGTGCTTACAAACAAAGTCCTTGGGGCCCACAGACAGTCCACATTTTTGTTCCCTCCCTGCCCCAAGACAATCAAGATCACTTAGTACGTGGTACAGTTGTGTTGGGAGTTGGGAGAGAACAAAAACGTGGACTGTCTGAGGGCCCTGGAGGACTGGCTTAGGAAACACTGTTACTCGGTCTCAGCGCTTGCATTTTGGTACAGTCAGGAGGTACATGAAGGCAGAAACCTCCTACCATTTCATTCTCCTCCTACAGCTGACCCTACAGTGCAGACCATTCCCAGCAAGCCAGACCCCTCCAGTGGTGCCTCACTGGTCCTCCCAGAAGATAAAGAGTCTCAGTCACATATAACTCAATTGGTTGGATGAAACAGAATCTTGGTCTGGATTTTTACTTTCTGGACCTGAAATGTCCAGCTCTGGGAGCAACCATTGGGGGGGGGAGGCAGCTCTATTTATGATCAACTGACAAGTTTGCTGAGCTCATAAAAGCAATGTCTGCAATACAGAGACAGCACCTGATCTAAAGTTTCACTGGGAAGCACTGCACTGTGTCTCATCTACGATTCTGCTTAGAAAATAAAATAATCAATATTTTGTTTTTCTAATTTTGATGTGTGGTAGTAACAGGAGTGGCCACATATTTACCTGGCCATGTCTTAGATCTGCCCTAGCGCTCCTCGTACACGATAATGCCAGTCAAAAGCCAGTCCCCTTTTCCGTGTGAAGATGTCGCACACTCCCACGCCAAATGAGAATCCTGTAGTGGCCTAATCTGGCTGAATCGGTCATTTTGCCCACGACATCAGAAAGTGTCTTCACAGACCGTTCACAGACCGTTCACAGACCGTTCACAGACCGTTCACAGACCGTTCCCGCTACATAAAACTCACGAGGACACACAATGCATTTTTTTTCAGGTAACATTTTAACACGGACCAGACACAATATTCGAAAACTTTCGAAAAACACGACTCCTCAACCAAACTACAGCATCAGTGATAATTAGACGGCCTGAAAAGTATCCCGTAGCCCATATATGGAAGCATACAATCTCCTCTCTTTGACCTTTGAGCCTTGCTCTTCATTCTTTTTTTTTCCTTCGTCTTCTTCTCCGAGGCGAACCCGCCAGCCCGTGTTTACTTAGGTCGGGCCTTTCGAGAGCGAGAACAGCTTCTTGCAAGTATCTACCTGTATCGATGTTGTAGTCTGGGTTAGGGCATGTCATAATTAGGGAAACATGTGCTTTTTCATTTGAGCTCTGCTCCCCACACGCTGCGTTGCGCTCTGCAGCTGCCCGGTCACCCAGCCTCACATTGGGAAGGGTTCCTTCGTTGGAGACGGTGCCACAGACCAGGAGAAGGTGAAGAATGCACTAGTCGACCACACGGGTGCACGCTCCTGGCAGACCCAAGCAGGGATTATGCTACCCACTTCTTAAGTTTGCTGGTCTGCTGGATTTTTAAAGAGACTTTTATATTGTATTTCATTTTTTTCTTTGAGAAAACACTGCAGTCGTTGGACAATGTACTATGTCAAGAAGAAGGTAATATATTCTTTTAACAAATGGGTAAGAGGTGTCGTGTTTCAATGAGAGTTCTGCTTTTGTCACTAATTTAACAGTGTAGCTGCAGTTCATGTCCTCTCTAGAGGAATGTTCAAAGCATCGTAACTTTAATGTGATATTATCTTGGTTCATATTTTACTTTATGCTCTGAAGACTGTTTTGTACCATGATCTACTGTATATAATTTTATGCACATATTATACATCTTTAACATGTGAACAGATATTTTGTCTATATCTATCTGCTATACTTCTATGTTACTATGTAAAAGGCAATGAATTTCTATCAGACCTTAATCCTTTCTCTCACTGGGGGGAGGGAATATTTCCAGCAATATCATTTAGCTTCTAATGTCAGGAGCTGATAACCCTGAACATAAAGCATAATACATATGAAATCCACCAGTAAACTTGATGACATCAACCAGTCAACCAGTCAGCCTCTAAAAGCAAAACCTGTTTATATCCTTAACCAATCATGCCAAGGCGAGATTCGCATGCAGCATATTGCTGCGGCGCTTAACTCATCTCCTAAATGGCAGAAGAGACCACAGAGAGCATCCCGTGCAGGAGCAAAGGGAATCAGCGCAGACGTGTCGCAGAGCCTGAAGTGTTTCATACTTCATATTCATTTTCTTCAGGCACAATTTAAGTGCTTACTCTCAGCCCCCACCCCCCCCCCCCCCCCCCCCCCCTGAAATTTTTGCACACTAGTCAGACGTCTCCACAAGGTGGTCGCGACACGATGCCCCCAGAGAAGTTAAGAGCTTTCTGACTTCAGACCCAGCCAGAGGTGTGTGGGAAATGGCAGCAATTAGGCAACGGTCAGATTAGGATTTGTTTTACAAGTCAGGACAGGGCTGCTACCCCTTTAAGTGTGCCTGGATGTAACAGGAGCCCGGCAAGGCGGGTGGATATCTCCCAGCTCCCTCTTACCTATGTGTGTCCCGCCTCACCCCACCCCGACCCTCAGTCCCAGTACAGCCTCCTGAGCAGCAGCATGGAGCCCAGCCTGGGGGGCCGAGCGGCCTCTGCCAGCCCCTACAGCTCCGAGCACGCCTCCAGCGCGCCCGCGCCGTCGCCCTACTCGCAGCCCAACTCCACCTTCGACGCCATGTCGCCGGCCCCCGCCATCCCCTCCAACGCCGACTACCCAGGACCACACGGCTTTGAGGTCACCTTCCAGCAGTCCAGCACCGCCAAGTCCGCCACGTGGACGGTGAGTGTCACTCCACAAACCCCCCCACCTTTACCCCACCCTATCGTACTCGGGGCGCACACACTGACGCACACACACCTGTAGCTACTGTACTGCGGCCACTAAGCGGGGGCCTGCCAGCGTGCGAGGACATACCTGTATCGTCCCCCCCCCCCCCATCACTGTCGTCATTCTCCCGTTCTTCACTCATGGGAGGTGACTTCATGTCACCGCCTGAACCGCGTGGGAGTTCTGCGCAAATCTTGACTCGGGCCGTCCCTGTCCGCCCAGTCCCTGCTTGATATGTCCATCTTCATGGCAGCATCTCGTACTTGTTTCACCCTCAGATCAATCGGGTTTCGGTTACTGAGGTGGTCGGACTTACTGGAAACGTCGCAGGTGCCTTTGACTCACTTTGTGCGATGGTGTCACCTGCCTTGAGAGATGGACTGAAGCTGGACTGGTGGAACATTCCTCAGTAGATACTACCTCAAGGTTTTTTTTTTAGTTGATTAAACATTGCCATTAGCAAGCCTATTTACTTTTTGTAGAGTTTGTCTTAAATTCTGTTGGGATATAATGTTAATGTAGTGCTTTTATTGCGATTTTGGCCTTGTCAAGCTAGAGGAATGTGACATTATTTTTCTCACAATTTAAACTGAGACGAAGAAACTGTTTCGTGTTCGCTGTATTTGCGTCAGTGTGTTGCTGCGTTTGCGGCAGTCCGTCCGTCAGGGGCGCCTGTGACAGGTACAGTATGGGGTGGGGGGGGCAGAGTGCGGGGAAGTGCGGTGCGACTGCCGGAGAAGCGAGAAAACGCGGAAACAGGAAACTTAACAGAAATTGCCCATCATATTTTGGGGATCTCATCTTGTGATCGGGGTGCCGGACGACCGGAGCTTGGCCGGGAAAACACGCCGTCCTACTGCTGTGGACCGAGGTCCCCAGCGCTGCCACTCAAGCCGATGCGCATTGTATGCAGCGATTATTTACGGCAAAGTGCAAACGCATGAACACGTCTTAATAGGGTCTTTTAATGAAATCAACTATCTTAAATATGTAATGTTATAAAGTCTATGCCAAATCTTTAAAGATGGGATACAAAAACGGATACGGGAACAACTGATGATATTTATCGCAAGTATTACTGCTACTTACTCTTGTTTTATTCAAACTGGGCAGTTACAATAATACATTTACCAAGGCACATAAAGCCCAGTATTAAAGTACTTGCTATTAAATGTGATTTAGTCACATTTTTGCAAGGTTTTCACGACATTGTTCCCGTATTATACGGTTATACGGGCACTTTACTCTTTATTATCCCTTAATTATACCTTAGTCTCTCTTTCCAAGGTGCAGCTGCCAGAAAAAAATGATAAAAGCTGGAGGAATATCATTATTACGTTTTTTATAACTCGTTCGAGTGGCGTGTCAAGAGTTTACCTTCCGAATATGATATTACAAAGATATAATTACGGTTTATAACAGATAGAAGCATTTAATATATTTTTTGTAAGAGGATAAAAGGATGAAAGAACCACTTAAAAGATAACAGACGTTATTTAAATTTTGAAGTTGTGTATTTTAAACCGTCTTAAGGCAGAATATGAAGTACCGGCTCAGGGTGACTGAAGGGTGCAGGTCGAAGACGGGCAGCGTGGATGGGCTGCGGGGTTCCTCCTCTCCCGAAACCCTATACGCGTGTATTTCCTCTCAGCTGACATGTGTGTATTATAAAAGCATTCCTCAGCAGCTAAACGCGGAGTTTTCCTGGTGTTAAAAGAGCGATCGCGGATCACAGGAATGCGAATCTACTCCGGGCCTTTGTTTGTCCTGCTATCTGATTACTTTGACTGAGCAGCCTTTTGAACTAAATGCCACTCCGGCCGTTTTCTCAGCCGTGCTCTCGAAGAAACAGCAACTCACGTTTTATGAAGGGATTCCTTAATAACAATAAATACAGCTGCGGTAGGTGTGACAAAGGGCATAGGATTAGGGGGGAAAATTCTGATTTGGGTGTTTATTGAGAAACAAATGGCCTTCGGTGGCAGTTACTGCAGGGGTACGTGACCTCAGCCTGTCACCAGCGTGACCTTTTGAAAACAGAGCCAACGCCCACTTGCTTTGGCCCGGTTTCGCTCTGTTTGCCCTATTAATTCATGCGTGAGCAGGACCCAACGGTGCTGAAAAGTGATCCGAGGAGCAGAGCAGTGGGGTTAGTTTGGGGGTCACTGCAGGGGACCCCCCCCCCCATTCCTCAATGCCATCGTTCCCAATGGCGTACATTTCGAGACAGCGTCCCGCGTTGACTGAGCGACACAGGCCCTCGCCCTCGTCTCAGTGGGCCGCCCCTCCTTTGTCATCTGCAATGCTGAACCAGATGCTGCAGACCATCATTTAATCCCCCTTTTTGGATGTAAAACTGCCAATGAAAACAACTTGTCATAGATATCGCTGCTGGTTTGGTCTGAGTCTGTGCAGTGACAGCAAGGACGCCCCTTCCTGTGTTTATTAGGAGTGAAATCGAATATTTTTTAACTTCATCAACTGGATTAGAAGGCAGGATCAATTTTAAGTGGTACTAAATTAGGAATAATGAAAGATAAATACATTTTTGTACTGGGTGATCACTGCATTTTGTTTGATTTTGTTAAAATATACTTACAATTAAACCATCTTTTCATGGCGTTAATCAATTTTATCTTGCTGGCAGACACGTCCGTATTTAGTTGTCGGTTGTGTGTTAGATATGGTTATGTTTTGCTAGCTGCCTATAAATAGGTGATGTGTGGAATAGCAAAAGGATTAAGGCGTCATTGTTAAAAGCTGACAGACGTGAACTGAGGAGATGCAACTGGGACGACCGGCTGCTATGAGGATCTGTCCTGAACGGCAGCTACCTTCTACTCTCTCTTAGCGAGAATCGCGTTGGATTTCCTAAGAAAGGTCACAGAGGTTCAGAAGATGCAGCTTTGCGGGGGCATCACAATAAACAGCCCCCCCCCCAAATAAATATACATTAATTGGTTGAAATAGTGTGTTCTCTACATTAATTTTCATTAGAATCAGACCCCCCTAGTACAAGCCGAGCTCCGCTTTTCATAAAACTCTAATGACACTCCTGCAGCTAAACGTTGTTAGCGAAGCATTAGCCCCCTAACTTACACGTAAATGCAGCACAACTAACTTTTACCTGCATACGGCCGGTATGCTTGTCTTATAGGTCGTATGAGTGGTATGGACATGCAGACTCCCAGGGGGAGAAGCTCTGACGGCTCATAAATCCAGTAGCTTTCGAATGCGGGACAAAGTATTAAGTTCCTTGGTAGCGAAATCGGCCGGATTGAGTGGCAGAGGAGCCAAACGGTCGATGCGAGATGCGGCCACACTGAGACGGACGCCGAGTGAAGTGGCGTTCTAGCGACCAACAGCCCCCTGAGCCACACTGACATCTGCCATTAAGGCCCATAAACACAGGTATGAAAATCTAAGCTGCCCTTATTTAAAGGCGCAGGTCCTGAATAAGCCTGTCACGCTATAATCAGACAGTTTGGAGCAGGAGGAAGGGAAATAGTCTATTATCAGTACAACGGCCATTTATTTACCCGTCAAAATAATTCCCCCCCCAGGCACTGACAGAGGTCAGAGGTCCCCTTCCATCCCTGGGCCCCTATTATGGAAACCTGTCTTGTTTATAAATGCCTGTTCTCGCCAGATGAAGGTGGTCATTGGGCGAGATTAGAACCTGAAAAGGACATGAACTTCTACAAAGATAAAGACCCCTGTTAGTTTGCTTCTCTGGACACAAGACATTTAGAGAGTAGCTAAGTATCTTCCTGTTGCCAGGAGCCATGTCATAGTGATATAACTGCAAATCTGTCTAATGAGTTTTATATCAGAACTAAGAGATTGTGTGATACTGCAAGACCAAAGATGTCAGTGCATCTGAATGACTTTTTTTTTTTCGATGAAAATTATTGATAGTGATTGAACAAGAAGGATAAAAATCCCAGTCAAATCATTTTTTTTCTCTGTTAGCTGTTTTCAGTTTTGGTTTTATATATAATCTTTTATTATACGAAGCTTTTTGCTTTTTGTTTTAGTGCTATTGGTAATTTTATATGTGGCAGACCTCTGTCTAACTTTGGATTTTCGTCCCCCTGGGTGTTGATGAGTGCTGTCGGATTAGCACACGGCGGTATGCTGGCCTCTCTGGCGAGTGAAAGGCAACACATCGCCTCCCTTTCCATGTTCAACGGGTTAAAAGCCAAGTGCGACAGATGGTCCAGTGCCTTGGCAAGCACTTCCCTAGACAACAAAGGGATTACGGCAGAACGGCAGCCCAAATTAAAGTGTTACCTTAATATGGGGGGGATTCCCAAATCACATCATCGCATGTGTTTATGTCTCCAAGCCCCCGTCATTAGATGAATGCTGGCTGTGTATACCTGCAGAAGTTGTGGGATTACACACTGCAGAGGGGTGAGGCTCAACATGGAGAGTTGTTAAGGGTTAAAGGGGGTGTGTGCAGGATTGTATGGCCCCCAGCCATGGGGAATGGCATAGGGGCATGCTGAGTGCTTTTTCTGCTCTCTGACGGGTGCTTTCTACGGGCAAGTCGAGTGGGATGAATCTTTACTTTGCGATGATGCACCAGCCAGACCGGCGACGCTGAGATGTGTCACAAACCTAGAACATTCCGGGCTGAAGCTCCAAATGAATCATTTAGCTTAGATATCTTAACAACCATACTGTCCGATTGAGAATTTCTCATGATGACCCTCAGACAGATTAGGTCTCCTGCTTGAGCCCTTGATACTCGTGACAGTGACTTTTTAAGCATTTTTTCATCCCTACATTTCTTTAATGGTGAACATATCTAACAGAATGTTCTAGAGAGAGCCATCAGTATGGTCGGGGGGGGGGGGGGGGTGGAGTGCCCGGACAGGTGAATGGGGTATGCTGACCCCCCCTCACATTTAATCTGTCTTTCCTGACGCCGTCCCGCTTTCACAAAA